GACCGTAGGTTGCTGCAACCAACAATCAGCATCTCGTCGCCCGCGCCTTCAATAGTACACATACCATGGGCAGTCCACGCTGCATTTTGGCAAATATGGGGTAAGAAAATGAGATGCAGTACGCAAGCTGCAGTCGACTTCTCGAAATTGCCTGCAGACCGTTTACCCAATCGGGATTGTTTGTCCTTTGTTTGTCCCGGTACGCGTCGGTCGCGTGCCTCGAGCGCCTGTCTGCTTTTCAATTAGGACGCGTCGAGTCGCGTTCAAGCTTAAGTCTCAGCTTCGGAACCTCACACTATAGCTTTCCCGTAATCGCGCCTGGGATGGACACCACAGACGAGAAACCATTATTCTTTGCCGAGTCCGAAGACGAAGGGGAAGTGACTGATGCTGCTGTGCAGCCTCGTGCTTCTTCACCTCCTGCCAGTTCGCCTAGCTCTGGATTGTTCTTCGCCGATGAAAGTGATGCTGACGACGCGAAGTTTGGTACTCTCGGGGACATACCCTTTGCTGACCCTCCTATGGACATCGATGCAAGTGTAGTTGAACCCCCTAAACCTCGATCCCCCAGTGTCACAAGTGTATCTTCCGGTAAAGTCGCGTCAAACTCAAGGAACCATTCGTCAAGGGCTTCCCCGACCCACGAAGAAGGCCCTCCAAATAAAAGACGCAAAGTGTCACCGAAAACGATCACTCAAGAACAGAAACCTTCCGATATCTTCTACTTGGGCTCCTTCGTGGTCGGCGATGCATGGAGTACTGTCAGGGGAAAGAACTACGTCAAGTCCGGAGATATCATCAAGGTACAGAGGGACGCGCCTCGAAACACTCCTCCCAAAAAAGTGGATTTACAAAAGGGGGTCAATTATAAAGCTGGCAAGAAGCAATTATCGATCGCCACCATGCTCAAGCCTCAACATCCGGCGAAACCAGTCAAGAAATCGGAGAACACAGTGGTGCGCTTAGCGAACAACTCAGGGTCTGGTGAGAAAGGCATTGAACAATCACTGTATTATTGTTCACGATTGGTCTGCTTGTCAGAGTTTGCTCGTCTGCCGCAGGACGTTGCTTCATGGGTCTCAAAACTTCTTGATCTCGGTTCGTAACTAGGTAATCAACGCACTTCACTGGAATAGCTGAATATGCAATATGTAGACATCATCGAATTTCGGAACAGCACGGTGATAGACTGTCCTGATACTCTGCGCTCTGGCGCTGAGATCATCGTGTCACTCAACGTATACATCAAAAGCTCAGCTTTCAAGCCAATCAGCAGACATGATGATGATCAGCCGAAGACCATGTTCTCCGAAGACAGAGAGACTGAGACCGAACAAACTTTGAGGGAGCGGAAAGGTGCACTGCTCCGCCTCTTCGATGCCCTCAACATCAAGCCTCGCAAGGGAACGTCTTCAGCTAAGCGTCGGAAAGGCGAACTTGATGCGGATGACTTGGCTTTACTTGCCCAGAGGCCCAAGAACAAGGGTAAACAAACAATTAAGAAGGAGATTGTTGGTGACGGCGAAGAGATTGAGGTCGAAGCCGACGGTGACGACTTATCCGAGAATGAACTCAATTTGATTTACAAAAAGTACGAGCACTCCATCGTATGCGGCGATTTGCATATCATTGAATCTCATCGTGTCGACAGAGCTCAGCGAAACGATAAAACGTTGGTTGAAATGGAACCTCCGGATACCTTCACATTGACGTTGCGGCCATACCAGAAGCAGGCACTCATGTGAGTATATTGACTCAGTGGAGGATATCCTTGATTCATAAGCAACGTGTTCAAAGGTGGATGCACTCCCAGGAAACGGGAGATAATGTCGCACGCGAGGAATTTTCGATGCATCCGTTATGGAAAGAGTTAGCCAAAATTCCCAAGTCTCCTCATTCTCCGTCTCACTGACTTCGAAAGATATTTATTTCCTTTGGAACCTAATGACGGCGTCATTGACCTGACCGCCGACGAAAAGGCTTTTTATTTCAATGAATATTCGGGTGAACTCAGCCTTGACTTCCCGAAAGCAGAAAAGAAATTCAAAGGTGGTGTCTTGGCTGACGGTACGTAAGCTCCCCAATACAATCTTGAGCCCGCATTGAATGTCTGCTTTTTATATTACAGAGAGTATGTGTATTCTTTCTTCTCGCCGCTTTTCGTGGTTCTAATGATAATCTCAGTGGGAATGGGTAAGACCATTATGCTCAGTTCGCTCATGCAAACCGCTCGTGCCCCTGAGGACCCACTCCCCGCAATCGCTACATCCAACAAACCCCGTCAAATCAAATTAAACAGCGCCTTCCGACCAACGAGACCCGACAAGTCCACTATAGACCCCAAAGGACCTTCTGCAACTCTAATTGTAGCACCGACGTCCTTATTGAATCAGTGGGCGGAAGAGTTAAAGCGATCCAGTAAGGAAGGTACATTCAGAATGTTGGTATGGCATGGTCAGGGACGCTTGGATCTGGATAGCGTCGTTGGAGGCGAGGAAAGCGATGAGGAGAACTCTCCTATCAATGTGGTCATCACGAGCTATGGGACATTGGCGAGTGAGCATGCGAAACATCAGAAGATACCTTCGCCTATTTTTGAGAGTAGGTGAACTTTCCTCTGTTATGTGATACATGTTGACGACATGCGGATTCTCCACTTCTCCACTCACTAGTTGAATGGATGCGTGAGTTATTCCCTACTATATCAATATCTTTCCAGTTCTGAATAATTCGTTTCGTATTCCAGGCGTTATTCTTGACGAAGGTACAGTACATGACCCTGTTCCCACATTCTACGATTGTTGAGCCATATTCCAGCACATCATTGTAAGTCGCGCCAAAGCAAGACTGCGAAAGCCGTATATGCTCTTCGTGCCAGACGGAGATGGGCTGTGACGGGTACACCAATTGTGAACAGGTTGGAAGACCTATACTCGCTGCTGTAAGTCGCGTGTTTTGTCCTGTCTTTATTCTCGACTGACCAAACCAATCTACGAAAGGAAATTCCTCAACTTTGAGCCATGGTCGAACCATGCGTTCTTCCGCTCGTTAGTACCACAGCACAGGATGGAGGGAATGACGTTCACTAAGTTCAAACTTGCATCATATAGATTCATCACATTGCCCTTCCTCGCGCGAGACCCGAAGGCAATCGAGGTTGTCCAAATTATTCTAGAGACCATTCTTCTCCGTCGAGAGAAGAACATGCGGGACAGCGATGGCAGGAAGATCATCGAGTTGCCCCCTAAAGAGGTGAGTCGAGATGACTGGTTCAAATAGCTCGTATTGAACGGATCATAGGTTACTGTAGAAACGCTAGAATTCTCTCCTCTAGAACGCAAGATCTACGATTCCCTCTACTCGAATGCGAAAGCAGACTTCGAAAACCTCAATGCAAGAGGCCTCGTCAGCAAGAACTATACGCACATTCTGGCGATGCTCATGCGTCTTCGTAGAGCAGTCCTCCACCCAAGTCTCGTCATATCTGATGAGGCCAAGAACAAAGGAAAGTCTTCAAGCGACCCTATAAACGTTGACGAGATGATCAAACAGTTCTCCGAGGCCGAGGAAGGCAAAGGAGGAAATGCATACGCTGAGGAGGTCCTAAATAATTTGGGGCAGGAGGAGAATCCAGAATGTCCTATCTGTTTCGATGTTATGGATTCGCCGATGGTCATTCCTCAGTGCATGCATCAATGGTACGTCGTTGTGGTATGATTTGATCGTTAATTTGAGCTAAATGAACAGCACAGCTGCAAAGACTGCATCGTCGCATTTATTGAACGATGTAAGGAGAAAGGCGAAGATGGACGATGTCCGACTTGTTCGAGGGGGCCAATAACGGTAGCTTTCTTTATTGCTGTATTCCGCTACTGCACTAAATAGCTTTCATCTGCAGGAATCAGAGCTTCTCGAAGTCGTTCGGTCGAGGGAAACTGTTAAGGTTGAAGAAGACGAAGCAAACGGTTCGCAGAAACTATCACCGCCTATGGTCACCCTTAGAAGAAACGACTTCCGGTCATCGACAAAACTAGATGCTCTGACGCAACATCTTAGTGAGTTTTTCTTCGATACACTTGCGCGAGCTCACCTGAACATGCGGCTCCAGAACGGTTGCAAGACCAAGATCCATGTTTCCGCGCCGTCGTCTTCTCTCAATTCACTTCTTTCTTGGACTTGATACAGACCGTCCTAAATCGAGAACAATTCACTTGGTATAGATTCGATGGCACAATGGACATAAAAAAGAGGAACGCCGCCATCTCTGAGTTCAAATCGTCGTCGAGAGAACCGAAGGTGCTCATCATCAGTCTTAAGGCTGGTGGTGTTGGATTAAATGTGAGTGGCTCTCAGTCTTGATGCTAGGTGATACAATGTTGATCGCAAGCCTAGTTGACAAACGCAAATCACGTATTTATGGTGCGTATCACTCAGGAGAATATCTCTTCATCATTAACTCGTGACAATGTAGATGGACTGCTGGTGGAATGCCGCGACGGAGAACCAAGGTTAAGTCCTATCCGTAGACATAGTTTTCGATACTCAATCTCAGTTTTCTACTTGTAGCAATCGACCGCGTGCATCGGATCGGTCAAGAACGAACCGTTTATGTCAAGCATTTCATCGTGAGTTCCTTCAATGTATCGAGAGTGTCCTTGATTCAATGTGTGTCTAGGTCGCGGACACAATCGAAGGACGCATTCTACAGATTCAGAAGCGCAAGACGGCCATTGTGCAGGAGGCGTTCAATGGGAAGGGTCGTGGGGATCCGGACAGCATCGAGAACCTGAAGATCATGTTTGGCGACGTCTCTGTGTGAAGCTGTAGTTTGTACCCGCGATCCTAGGCTGATTGTGGGATGGTCACGCATATGTAACATATATACACAATGGAGGAGCACAATGGAGAGGCCGCAGTTCAGCTCATGTTTGGCTAACAGCCAGGTGAAAAAAGTGGAGTGGATGGAAATGAAATTGGGGATACATTTGATCCAAAATCAGTGACGAGAGTGGGATTCGAACCCACGCCCCTTCGGACCAGATGGAGTCAGCCCCGGTGCACTTATGCCTTAGTCTGGCGCCTTAGACCGCTCGGCCATCTCGCCATGTGGGACATGCAAGATGAAACATACCTGGTCTTTTCAGAACCTAGTACCGCTATAGGTTCGGGTTGAGACTCCTCAGGCTCTGGAAGTCCATTCAATCAACTCCCCATTAGTTTTCGGCACGGTCGTCATACTTCCTCTATATCCTCGCAGAAAGGCAGGATGTGATCTGTCCCAAAGAGCACAAGTGAGCCAGAGACACTGGCGTTGAGTAGAGGCGCAAACACGGCCAAACACGGTCACATGCCGCGGCGGGGCGAGAAGCCTGAGTGAGCGCATCCTCAGTCCTGCGAGTGCCATTGCGCTGCGACATACCTGCTCATCGCGTCCGTCGTCGGGCGCAACAGCCTGCATGCCATGTCTGAACCGACCGAGCTTTATCTTCCCCCCAACCTCCCGTATCCCCTCAAGATTGTTGCCAATGCTGCCCCGCCCTCCTCCACCGTCAACAGAGGCTCCCGTCTCCTCAGCTACTCCTTCACGCACATCTCCCCAAACCAACCTCCGGAAATCCGCTTTGGCACATGGGACTCCTCAATAGAGGGGACCGTTGAAAAGTGGAACTTCAATCCGGGCGACGTCGTCTCGCAACGCAGGGCAAAGGAGGTCCCAGCCGTTCTCATCAATGAGCCCTGTAAACACAGCATGCAACTCGGAGGTCTATGCTGTTTGTGTGGAAAGGATATGACAATGTGCGTGTTCTCTTGCTTCTTGTTTGAGCACCCCTTCATTCCCCCTCTCTTCAGATCCGATTACAATGGCTTCTCCGACGCACAGCGCGCCTCGATTCAAATGACCCATTTGGCCAACGGACCTACTGTCTCTCTTGAAGAAGCACAGCGCATAGAACGCGAGACCGCTGAGCACCTCCTCAAGTCGCGCAAGCTGTCTCTCATTGTAGATCTCGACCAGACCATCGTGCACGCCACCGTTGATCCGACAGTGGGGGAATGGATCCAAGAGGGCGAAGCGTGGGAGGCACGCAGAGCAAAGCGTGCGGCCGAGAAGAAAAGTAAGACCGGGGATGATGAGGGGGAGTCAGACGGGACTGCCTCTGACTCGGACGACGAGGTTAATCCCAATTGGGAAGCTCTCAAAGATGTCAAGAAGTTCAGACTCGGTCCTGAAGCACTTGGTCAAGCTGATGTCCGTGGTCCAAGACGGGGCGCAAAGAGTGTAGAACAAGATGGTTGCATGTACTACATCAAACCACGGTAGGTTCAAGTGCGTGCATCCGAGCGAGTACACTCTGACACCATTGTATAGTCCTGGCTGGCAGGAGTTCTTGAAAGCCATGGCAGCCAAGTATGAAATGCATGTATATACCATGGGTACACGTGCTTATGCAGAAGAAGTCTGCGCAGCCATTGATCCTGATGGGAAGTTCTTTGGCGGACGAATCCTCTCTAGAGACGAAAGCGGAAGTAAGTACAGTAGTCCCATGCTGACCCTAACCCCCCTTGACTATTTGCGTTTATTCTGCAATCAAAGGTCTAACGCAAAAGAGCCTGCAGCGACTCTTTCCCTGTGATCAAAGTATGGTCGTGATTATTGATGATCGTGCAGACGTCTGGGAATGGAGTCCCAACCTAGTCAAAGTTATTCCATGTCAGTGCGCAAGTGTTTCCATTCATTTGCACATATTCTCACCAATGTTCCTGCAGACGACTTCTTTGTTGGAATCGGCGACATCAACTCGGCGTTCCTCCCCAAACTTGAGCCCATGACACCACCACTTCCGCCAGGTGTACCCGCTGTCACTCCAACGACGCCCACCCCTGAACCAACAGAAGCCTCCTCAGCACCTCCATCCTCTTCGGAGAAAGCGATTGTGGTCCCTAACGGTCCCATCGAAGTCGACGAATCAGAGGCTGCCCGGAAGAGTGAGATACTGACGCGAAATCACATGGCACTTGATGCTCAGGTCGAAGAAAGACCTCTGGCAAAGAAGCAAGAAGAGCTTCAAGAGGCCTCCCAAGTAGACTCCACTATAACTGACAAAGCCGAGGCGTCGTCAAGTGCGGAGGGCGAAAAATCGACAAGCAACGGAAATGGTGAAGCATCGACTTCCGCGCGACCAAAGGAGAAGGTCGTTCGAAAGGCATTGCTGAGGAACGATGACATCGAACTTGTCCGTGTGCGCAATGTATGCAGACCACTTCTGTTCTATCCAGTACATTTCGGTATAGTCGCTAACCTTCTGTTACGTATAGCTTCTGGATGAAGTGCATAGGCGATTCTACAATGCGTTCGATGCCAAGGATCTAGATCAGGAACAAAACAAATCCTCACAGAAACGGAAGCGGAAGGATCCATCTCAAGTTCCATACGATGTTAGAGTACGTTCAATACATAGCGTATGTCTCAGTCTCACCTCAATATCCTCACAAAATGGTACTTGTAGGCGATCATTCCTCAAATCCGCATGCACACTTTTGAAGGCGTTCATATTCTCTTTTCGAGTGTGATCCCTTTGGACGTCAACCCAGAGTCGACGGAGATTTGGAGGACAGCTCTGGCATTCGGAGCCAAGTGTTATAGAGAGTTGAATCCTAAGATCACACACGTTGTAGCTGCAAAGGTGCGCATTTCGCCCTCGCATCCTCTTTTTCACTGATCTCCTACTTGCATATATAGCGCGGAACCCAAAAAGTTGACGCGGCGCGGCGACAAGGCGGGATCAAGATCGTGTGGTTGTCCTGGTTCACAGATTCAATAGCGTTCTGGCACCGGCAAGAAGAAGGTCCGTACCTAATGGATCCTGAACCTATCCCTAGCATGTCCGGTCCAGTCTCCCCTCTCTCGGACCAACAAGATCAACATCAAATTTCTTCAGACCCGGAGCCAGACGCGGATGACTGGGACGATGAGACTCGGCGAGCGAATAAGGCCGCTGCCGCTGCCGCCGCTGCTGGCGGGGGAGTAGATGCGGACTTGGAGTTGGATGAGATTGATTGGGATGAGATAAATAATGAGGTTGAGGCTGCTATGAACGAGAGTGATGATGACGAGGGGAGTGTGAAGACGAGGAGTGGGCAAGTTACGGAAGACGAAGATTGGACAGATGAAACGAATAGTATCATCAGGTTTGTTTGACCACAAACGTTCATCCAAATTCAACCATCCAGCTAATTACTTTCGGATCGCTCGCTAACAGTAGTACTAATTCAACGCCAAGAAAGAAACGAAAACGACTTAGAAGCATCACGCCGACGTCAGATGCGGGACCGAGCGCAAGCGCGAATTCGGACGTTCTCCGATCTCCCCTAGCCAAACGGAAGAAAGTGGCAGCAGACCGTTCAGGAGCGTCGAAACTGAAAGAGGCGTTCTCCGCCGCGGACATTGCCAAGTCTATGGCTGGAGAAATCATCGAAGAGGACGAGGGTGGTGAGGAGCTTGATGGTAGTAGTAGTAAGAGAGGAAGTAAGGCTACAACCCCGAGGGACGCAGCGAGTGAAATGGATGAAGATGATGAGGACGATGCAGAGGATGGAGAGGACGATGACGGATCAAATCTTGGTATTGATGAAGATGATGACTTTTTAGCTAGGGAACTAGGCGAAGATTGGGGATAGTATGTGTGCTTGCATGATGCTTTTCTCGTTCCATTTCTCCTCCCCTAGATATCGATGCTTTCGTCGTTGCTTTTCTGTCTCTGGCTCTTTGCCAGTCGCTACTTCCCTCTCTTCCGATCTCCACACTATCGCTGATACCTCACAATTCGCGCCTTAATCAATGCACAATGGATGTAGCAGTAGTGTATCTTATGTCTATCTGCTATTCAAGTTTTTCCAAACCAATATTTCTCTGCATCCGATCTTGCTACTGTAACTATTCCATACAAAAGTTAATCCGCCCTATGTATGTACTTGAACCTGAAGTCTTACAGGATGCATTACTTATTGTTCTCCTGTAAATAGTCGCAATACAACTTCCAAAGCTTCGAAACTTTCTTCCCTGTATGTTCCTTGAATATCACATCTTCGTACTCTCTGTCCCTCAACGTGAGGTTGATAGTCCTAACCAGTCCGTTCGCGGTACCATACTTCCCCTCCATCCAGTCTAGGAAGTACGCCGTGGAATCGTATCCTGCGTCCCATCGATCGCCTGGTCGGGCTTTCCAATGAGGAGGTGCAAGACCCGCGTGCAGACGAACCCAATCTGCCGTCGAAAGCAAGATCAGCTTCGACGTCAAGCTCAGATGAGGGCGATTAGACTGCGACGAACCGGCTACACCTTCAATAAGCCCACCAGGAGCTTTACCGTTCCCATTGAACTGGAAACAATGCACTACTTCGTGCGTAAGCACGCCCATGATCTCCTTCTCTGCGCGGTCAGCGCAATTCTGGATGTGCTCGAGTGAGAAATGGATTTCTTTGTATATGGATGTGCCCGTTGTATGTGCGACGCCTCCCGGCATGGAGCGTAGTACGAGGTTGATCACTTCGACCCTAGATGCGCACGCGACGGTTACATTCAGACCGAATTCCAAAAGAACCTGCCTCACTTACTCGCGTGGAACTGTCTCGAGGGTATATAACCATGTATACACTGACATGATCGCAGTTCTGAGGGCATCGTAAGGTTGAATGTGGTTGAAAAAGATCTGAGCACCAGGATGCTCTAGATCATCCACACGGAGCCTCAATGTCGGTATGGGCCATTCTACCGGACTTGTAGGGACTCTCTGTTTGGGAGGCAAGAAATAATGGGTTTGCATTGATGTCGGGTTACCGTCGGATTTTACCGATGCTGGGTTATGACAGCCTGAGCACGATACACGGCCACAGAAGCACTCTTCGTTCTGTCTGACCATATACAATCGCAGGAAACTGCGAAGCTCACCTTGGTGTCAAAACGAGCTTGGATGAAGCCAGTCTGGTGGCACTGCTGCCGCACAGGAACGATCGTTGCTAGCAGCCAACCCTGAGCAAAACCTGACAGGAATCATTGTCAATTCAGAAGTACAAATACACTCCGGATCTGGGATTGATGCGATA